GCTTTACAAGTAAGGAAACTGAGGCAAAGAAAGGTTAAGTAACTTGCCCGAGGTAACCTAGCCAGTAAGTGAAGAGCTGGGATTGAGTCTAGGTAGTCCTACTGCACAACCTACATTTTTATTTTTATTTTTTTATTGTGGTCAAACACACATAACATTTATTATTTTAACCATTTTAAAGTATATCTGTCAGTGGCTTTTAATACATTCATTAAATTGTGGAACAATCATCATTATCCCGTTCCAGAACATTCCCATCGTCCCAAAAGGAAATCCTGTGTCTACAAAGCAGTCATTCTTCATTCCCACCTCCCCCGAGTCCCAGGGAATCACTAATCTATGTTGGGGAAGAAGAATTTCCTCTGCCCTCCAAGGTCCTTCTAGCTGGACTAAAAATCAAATTGACATAACACAGGTTAACGGGAGAAAATAAAATTTTGTGTCGTATGTATGGGGAATCCACACAAACATGAGATTCCAAAGGCAGGTAGAATGAGGTATATATGTCATCCTGAACTAAGGAGGAGGGGATGGGGTCTGGAGCTTCCAAGGGAAGGAATGTAATTTATAGGAAGATGAACAAGACTATGTATTTGATAAACAAATGTTTTCTTGGGCACTCAGAAACGATAGCACATGGAAGACTTTGATCCAACAGGCCTTGCTGGGTTCCTTCCCATCTACCATACCTAATACTTAGTTCAGATTGCAATGTGGTTATCTACGGACCTGGAGCAGGCCCTCTATTTAAATTCTTTTTATGCAGTTGAGGGGGAGGTAAAGAGATTTTCCTGAATCTTTGATTTGATTGCCTTTTAACTCAAAATAATATTTATGCCCAAGTGGCCCATTGGGGTATCCTGCCCTTGGCCCTGACATTTGCTTTCTGCCTGTGTGAAATTGCCTATTTTAGATATTTCATATAAATAGAATCATACATCATGCAGCCTTTTGTGTCTCGCTTCTTTCACTTATAACGTTTTCAACGTTCATCAATTTTGTAGCGTGTGTCAGTATTTCATTCACTTGTACGGATATGTCACATTTTGTTTATACCTCAGTCATAAACCATATACTATACCACATTCATCCATTAATAGATATTTGGGTTGTTTCTACCTTTTGGCCATTGTGAACAGTGCTGCTATGAACATTTGTGTACTAGATTTTTTTTGAGCACTTGTTTTCAATTCTCTTGGATGTATACCTATAGGTCAATTTGCTGGGTCATGTGGTAATTTTAACTTTTGAGGAACCACCAAACTGTTTTCCACATTGGCTGCACTATTTTACCAGCAGATGTACAAGGGTTCCAGTTTCTTCACACTCTTGCCAACATTTTTTTTTCTGTTATTTAAAATTATAGCCATGCTAGTGGGTGTGAAGTGGTATCTCACGTGATTTTAATTTGTATTTCCCTGATGGCTAATGTTATGTTGCATCTTTTCATGTGTTTGTTGGCCATTTGTATATTTCCCTTGGAAGAAGGTCTATTCAAGTCCATTGCCCAGTTTTTAATTGAAGTTTTTGTCTTTTGTGGTTGAGTTGTAAGAATTCTTTCCATACGCTGGATATAAGACTCGTATCGGATATACGATTTGCGTAGATTTTCTCACACCCTGTGGGGTCTCTTTTTACTTTCTTGATTGTGTCCTTTGATGCACAAACGCTTCTAATTTTGGTGACATCCAAGTCATCTATCTTTCCTTTTGCTGTTCACGATTTGGTGTGATATAGGAGAATCCATTGCCAAACCTAAGGTCATAGTGATTTACCCCATTTTTTTATTCTAAGAATTTTCTCTGTCTAGGTCTTTGATCCATTTTGAGTTAAATTTTGTTATATGCTGTGGGGTCTGAATGTATTCTCTCTGACCTGCAAATTCATTTGTTGAATCCTAATCCCTAAAGGCGATAGTATTAGGAGATAGGATCTTTTGGAAGTGATTAGGGATTAGTGTTCTTATAAAAGATACTTCACAGAAGTCTCTAGTCCCTTCCACCACTGAGGGCGCAGTGTGAAGGCGCTGGCCATGAACCAGGAACAGGGTGTTTACTGGAATGTGAGTATGCTGGTGTCTTAGTCTTGGACTCCAAGCCTCCAGAACTTCAAGAAATAAATTACTGTTCTTTATAAGCTACTCAGTCTGTGGTATTACGTTATAGCGGCTTGAGTGGACTAAGATAGGATCCAACTTCATTCTTTTGCATGTTTATATCCAGTTTCCCCTGAATCATTGTTGAAGAGACTTTTCTTTTTCTGTTGAATGATATTGGGACCCTTGTAGAAAATCAATTGATCATGGATATATGAGTTCATTTTGGACTTTCCATAATATTCTATTTATCTATGTGTTTGTGTAAATGCCACGCTTTTGATTACTCTAGTTTTTTAGTATCTTTTGAAATTAGGAAGACGCAGTTCTCCAAATTTATTTTTAAAGATCGCTTTGGGTATTTGGGGCTCTTCGCAATTCCATGCGAATTTTATTTTTTTTATCTTTTTTTAAAGATTTATTTATTTATTCATTCAGAGAGAGCAAAGAGAGAGGCAGAGACACAGGCAGAGGGAGAAGCAGGCTCCATGCAGGAAGCCCGATGTGGGACTCGATCCCAGGTTTCCAGGATCACACCCTGGGCTGCAGGCGGCGCTGAACTGCTGCGCCACCGGGGCTGCCCTCCATGCGAATTTTAGGAAAAGTTTTTCCAATTTGGGAAAAAAAGGCCATTGGAATTTTCATAGGAATTGCATTGAGTTTGTAGCTAGCTTTAGGGAGCATTGATATCTTAATCATATTGTCTTTTAATTCATGGACACAGGATGTCTTTCCATTTGTTTAGTTCTTTATTATATACAATGCTTTGTAGCTTTTAGTGTAGAAGTCTTTCACTTCCTTGGTTAAATTTATTCCTAAGTACTTTATTCTTTTTGATGCTATTGTAAATGGAATCGTTTTGTTAAATTTCTTTTTAAAAACATTTTATTTATTTTTTGGGGGAGAGAGAGAGAGAATAAATGAGCAGAGAGAAGGGCAGAAGGAGAGAGAGAGAGAGAGAGAGAGAGAGAGAGAGAGAGAGAGAGAGAGAAGCAGACTCCCTAGGGACCCCGATGCAGGGCTCGATCCCAGGACCCTGGGATCATGACCTGAGCCAAAGGTAGATGCTTAACTGACTGAGTCACTCAGATGCCCCATTTTTTCTTTTGGATAGTTTGTTGCTACTGATTTGTCTTGATATTGCATCCTGCAACTCTCTCTGCTGGGTTAATTTATTGGCTCTAATCATGAAAAGAAATTCTTCAGGATTTCCCATATGTAAAATCATATTGTCTACAGAGATACTTTCACGTTTTCCTTTCCAGTTTAGATGCTTTTTATTCTTTTTCTGCCTAATTGCTCTGGCTAGAATTTCCACTACTATGTTGAATAGATGTGGTGAAAGTGGGTATCCTTGTCTTGTGCCTGATTACAGCTGGAAAGCTTTCAGTTTTTCACCACTGAATATGATGTCACCTGTGTGTTTTTAATAAATATTCTTTATCATGTTGAAGAAGTTCCATTTCTAGTTTTCTGAGTGTTTCATTGTGAAAAGCATATTGGATTTTGTCAAAAGCTTTTTCTGTATCACTGCAATGATCATGGTTTTTTTCCTACTGCTTGCATTCTTAGCCACTAGGGCCAATTACTTCTCTCTCTCTAACTTATTTAACCCCTGCTTTTTGTACTTATAGCATGAAAATCTTTCTTTTTTTTTTTTTTTTTGAAAATCTCACTTTCATTAAGAGCCATTAACATTATGATTTCCAATGAGTATATGTTATATCCTCATATGGGTAGTCTACAATTTATTTAATACTTCTATGCTGTTTTGATACAAGTAGTTGATGTGTTCTGTTTGTTGCTCCACGACCCAGAGCCTCTGAATTTGCTTTCTCTTCATCTCAAGTTTTTTAAATCTCTTCAGCTACTAAGCAGTATCCTTCTCTCGTTTCATATTTATTTTTCTTCCTGTTCCTTGAGGTATGGGTTTCATACACAGGGTAACCTTTGTTTTTTAAAATTTCATCTTCTGAATTAGTGACTGAACCAAGAGTCAAATGAAAGAAATATAAAAGCCTACCAGTAAAATATTGGCAAAGCACAAGTACATTATTACTATGTATATTTTATTTAGCTTGGGAAGAAAAGAATCTGCAATTCTGTCCTTTTCGTTTGTTTTTTCGTCTTTTTGTCAATATCTTGTTTGTGTGCTCTTGCAAGTATATATTTTTAGGATCATCTGGAAATACGGCTACACTGGAAGATAACTGAATTCACACATAAAGCTAATGTAGTAACATTTAGTTTTAGAGAATAAGCTTTTATCTCTAAAGAAAAGCATTTCTGCGTCTTATTTTTGCAGTTCATTGAACCGTTTTTATTTATAAAAAATTTTTTTTTGCGTGTGTCAAGGGCTGACTTTCAAGAGATCGCAAGATCTTTTTGATCGCTTTGCTATGTATGAAACCCCGACGAAGTGTCAAAATTTTTTTTAAACCACTTGTGTTTAACGTAAAATCTTGCTCATGCCCCCCCCCCCCCCCGTAAGTGTACACACCCCTATACACACGTTTTGGCATTGGAAGACAATTTGATTAAAAATCTGATAAAATTCTAAAAACAACGAAACCGGGGAAAAAACTCCCCCCAAAACAGCAACCACCGCACTAGGTCGTAATGAATACAAACCAGACCGACAGTCCCCAAGACTTCGTCTAGCGGCTACCGGTTCAGTTCCTGCGCGCCCAGGAGCCACAGGCGAAAACTCCAGTTCCCAGAGTGCTCCGGGCGCGAGCGGCCCGGCCCCTGCCGCCTCAGTCCCGCCTCCCGACCGCCGCGATTGGGCTGCTCAGGTCCGCGTCCGGGGCCTTCTCTTCTTCCATTGGCGGGCTCGCCAGCGCGCCCCTCCCAGAGCGTCCGCCCGCCCCCCGCGGCGGGCCCGCCGGTTCTCCACCTCCGCCCGGTACCAAGATGGCGGCAGAAGCAGCTGGTGGGAAGTACAGAAGCACAGTCAGCAAAAGCAAAGACCCCTCGGGGCTGCTCATCTCTGTGATCAGGTGAGGGAGGCAGGAGGCAGGAGGCAGGGTCAGGGGCCAGGGGGCAGCGGGCAGCGGCTCGACCTCCGCTTTGGAAGGGAGAAGGGGCAGCTGGGTTCCACCCTGCCGGCCCCTCCCCCTCCCCCTCCCCCTCGCCTCCCCCGCCCCTCCCCAGGGCCCCCACAGTCCCCCCTTTTTCTCTGGGGTAGGGCTAGAGGGAGGAGCCCCGCCTCGCCGGCGTTTCCGGAGGACCTGAGGCTTCCGCTAGGGTCCCTGGGCCCCAGAAGCACGCGGTTCGGGGCTTGGTGGGGAAAGCCAGGGGTGCTCCGAGTCACACCGCGTATCCCGGGGACGAGGAGGGCGCCTAGTGTCCTGGATCCCTGGGTGCGAGGCCCTGGAGTCCGGGCACTCCCGTCACGAGTCGCTGATTGTGTTCTCACTCTTGGGACACCTCCAACCACCTGTGAATGGCCACAGCCTCCAGCCGCAGAGCCCAGCGGAGCCCGTAGTGCGCTAGTGGAAGGGCTGCGGGGCGGCAGGCGCGCATCCCTTCTCGATTTTGGTTCTGCCTCCCTGACCCGGGCTGTTCCTTCAAGACGAAACAAATTTCTAATTGTCTTCTATGCACGTTGTTTTCCCGGAATATGTACGGTGGGAGTGCGAATGGGAGCGCTGGACCTTTCTAGGGGCTCCTTTTTTCAAAGTGGGAGCCAAATTAAGGATGGGAGAGGCCTTTCAAGCACCATGAAGGATGATCCAGGCAGTGATGACAACCCCCTGAATAAAATGTATTATGACACGTTTTTACATTGTTGACATTTGGATTCCAACTCAGATGACTTTCCATAAAGCAAAACCCCCTCCTCTTCACCCCCCACCCCCTCATGCTAAACTTCTAGTTGACCTCCAGGAGGGCTCCTCCACTGTCCTGATGAGCTTTTTCAAACCCAGCCTCGCGGTGCGGTGCCTGGCAGTTACTGAGGGTTTGAAGGTATGAACAGCTCGAGTTTGAAAAGCCTACCACTCGTGGACTGATAAAGACCCACCTATTAATGGTATTATTTGGGGGCCTCTGATGTAAGGTGATGAAATCATTATTACTAGGTGTTTTGGGGTTTGTTTGTTCTTTTTAAAGAATTAAGATGATGATTCTCTGTGTGGAAATGCCCAATGAACTTGGTGGGCCTTGGAAAGGGAAGGCTGGTCTATTGTGGACTCACATTCTTGCTATGACACTATAGGTGAGGTAGATGGTTCATGATACTACAACTGGAATATTAGTGTCCCATCTTAATCCTCCGTGAAATTATAGTACATGAGTTTATTTGGATTCTTTTTTGAACTTTTTATTTTTTCTGCATTATAGCCAACATTCATTTAAACTATGTATTTAGTGCCAGTGTGTCGTATGGTGCCTGGGGCTTCATACATAATAAATTTTTGTTGAACAAATAAGTGAATGCCCCGAGTTTTGCAACGACAAATCAGACATGATGTTACCCATGAGAGTAGAATTCACTTACTTGAGGGCTAAAAGATGGAAGTCAAAACTATGACTTGAGACTAGAAACAGAGACGAACAAAATACTGGGAATCCAGGAGGAGTGGTGAGCGGAGTAGGGGTTAAGGGACATAGCAGCTGGATGTCAATGTACCATTTCAACGGTGCACTTAGGATTCTGTAGGCTTTGCCCATTTCTTTTCTGCCGTGTATCAGTTTTCTTAAATGCCAATTATAGTTATTCTAAGTGCCCTACATTTGAAGAAAGCATAAAAACCAAACCAAAGTTTTTTTCTTTTACTGATGCTGATTCAAATTTGCCCTTGGTTGACTGTTCCTTTGTTCTCAGGGGGCCTCTCTTGCTGGAAAGTGTGGAATATGATTTTGTGGTTATTCATTCATCTCTTATGCCCATCTCTCTTACCTTCACATTATCACCATGATTTAGGCCTACACATTTTTTAGGCTGAATTCTGTTGTGTATTAGTCTTTTTCATTTTTCTTTCCTATCCTCGACCACCACAGATCATTTGAATAACACCTTATTACATCTGTTAACTAGCACACTATAATGGAGTGTCCAGATCTAACATCCTGGGCAAGTTTAGTAAGGATTAGAGTTTGTGGTTACATATGACCTTATTTAAGACTGGTTGTTGTTGGTTTTTGAGTGTTAATGTTTATATATCAATATTTCTTTGAGTCACAGGAATATTGTGGGGTTGACCTGAGAGTGTTGCTAGCTCTCTTTCCTTGTTGTTTCCTCCCTGATGTTCTCTTCTTGAACATATGCAATGGTTTAAATTTCACAAACAGTGGCTGTTAATGAGAGGAGGCTGGTAGTATTACTTTGATGTTTGGGTGGGGAGAAGCAGAGGAGAGTACTTCAGGGGAGAATAGAATGGGGAATGGAGTTGCCAAGAGAGTAGATCTTAAAGGTTCTCATTACAAGAAAAAAATGTTACTGTGAGGTGGATGCATCTAACTTTATTGTAATTATTTTGCAATATATGGTTTGTTAAACCGTGTTGTATACCTTAGACACCTATGGTGTTATATGTCTGTTGCATCCTCTAAAACTGAGGAAAAAAGAATGGGAAATGTATATTTCTTGTTGGTAAATTGGTCTGTCACTCTGAAGTTGCTGCTTTTATCTGTTCAGTTTGTATTCCTTGTGCTATCCTTGCAACATTGTATTCATTAATTCTTAATTCCTGTAAAATTTGGATTACCTTCTCTTCTCCTTGACCTCTTCATATTCTCAAAGACCAAAGATTTCCTTTTTTTTTTTTTAATATTTTATTTATTTATTCATGAGAGACACAGAGAGAGAGGCAGAGACACAGGCAGAGGAGAACCAGGCATCCTACAGAGAGCCTGACGTGGGACTCGATCCAGGGCCTCCAGGATCACGCCCTGGGCTGCAGGCGGCGCTAAACCGCTGCGCCACCGGGGCTGCCCAAGACCAAAGCTTTCCTGAACCCATTTTAGGCTCGTATTTGTAACATCTGAGCCTCCTTGAAGATATATCTGATACATGCCAGTTCTCCTTTATGTTTCCTTGGACCTGTCATTTTGTCACCAAATAAATGACTTGTCAGCGATGGCCCTTTGAAAAGTTTGATTAGCTTAGCTTTATCTTTTTATATCACTGAGCTGTTGTTTTCTTTTTTGAATAGTGAATATTAAAAATTCCCCTTTGGTTCTTCTGCTCAGATACGTTAAAAAAGCCATTTCTAGGTATATGTGAGTGGCTCAGTTGGCCAAGTGTCCAATTCTTGGTTATGGGCTCAGGTTGTGATCTCAAGGTTGAGGATATGTGCTCAGTGGGCAGTCTACTTGAGATTCCCTACTTCTTCTCCCTTATGCTCCACCCCTCTGCTGGTGTGCACATGCATGCATGTGCGCATGTGCTCTCTCTCTCTCTCTCAAATAAATATTTTTTTAGAAAAAGTCATTTCTAGGGAATCTCTGGGTGGCTCAGTGGTTTAGTGCCTGCCGTTGGCCCAGGGGGTGATCCTGGAGTCCAGGGATCAAGTCCCACATCGGGCTCCCTGCATGGAGCCTGCTTCTCTCTCTGCCTCTCTCTCTCTCTCTCTCTCTCTCTCTATCATGAATAAATAAATAAAATCTTAAAAAAAAAAAAGAAAAAGTCATTTCTATACCTCATCATGTAGTGGCATAACACACATATATTTAAAGCTATTTCTAGGACTTGAAACAGTATTTATTGTTAGTTATCTTTTAACACTGGATAAGAAAACAACAGGTGGATAAGGGTTCAAAGGATACAGTAGGTATAGACATGGGGACCAGCCAAATCTCATCACTAGTTCCAGCTGTTCCACCAAATAGTTAAATAATAAGTATTTTGCTAGTGTGATTGTCCATCACTTTAAAGCATTTAAATCAAAAGAGGGCAGCCCCGGTGGCACAGCGGTTTAGCGCCGCCTGTAGCCCAGGGTGTAATCCTGGAGACCCGGGATCGAGTCCCACATCAGGCTCCCTGCATGGAGCCTGCTTCTCCCTCTGCCTGTGACTCTGCCTCTCTCTCTCTCTGAATAAATAAAAAATAAAGTCTTTAAAAAAAAAATCAAAAGAGTTTCAAGAAGGATAGTATAGTTGTGAAAATGTTATATTTGGTCAATGGGTATTTACGTATCTTGAGACTCATAAATGAAGTTCTTAACCGTTTAAAAATTATTGAGTAAAAAATATTTTAGGACAATCAGATGTTTCAAAGGATGGGCTCCCCGGGTATTGCAGAAGAGGTCCTCAGGCTGGGAAGTGGGGCTTTGATGAGGAGAGGGACAGCGCTTGGGATCGAGTCTGTCGGAGGCCACTGCTAACTGCAGCTTTTGGTTTCAAGTCTTGCCACTGGCCCTTTAAAATTGAACTAATTGGGTGGACAGAGTTGTGATCACCTGCTGATGTAAATTTGGACAGTTTTAACACATGTGCCCACACACAGCATTTCCCTACCTTTCTATTGATTTTTTTTCTCCCTCCTAACCTTTAGTTTGGTGTGAAATCGGAGCAGGCAGCCCTTCTAGATGGGGAATAAGCAAGATGGCATTTTGGAGATGCTGTTTTATTTTTGTGTGTTATTGTCAGATTTTTAATTGGGAAATGTGTCTACCACTTACTGTTAGGTGATTTGCTTTCCAATTAAATGTTGACTCTCTTCTCTTTATAAGTTGGCCTTTAATAGACCGTTTAATTGGGAAGACAAACTTTGGCGGTGACTTGAGGTGACCTTATTGAAACCTCAGAGCAGAGCTTTTGTAGACAGACTCTGGTTACAGATGTCAAGGAGGTCTGAAGACAGTTGAAGGCTCACGTTTTCATCAACTTTCATGTCTTCACAGAAGTTGGAATTTCAAAAACTTAGAAAAATCCTTTATTGTAGACACCTGTTAAATTCCCTTCCTCCACAGAGAGTGTTTTGGTCAGCCCCATATTTAATTCAAAGCGAGCTTTGTTGAAGGGGTCCAGGCTTTGATCAGGGCTTTGAACAAAC